CCAAGGCCAGCCACAACCACGTGACTTTGGGGACAGCTTTCAGTGCTGGTCCGGTCAGCTCTGGCTCATCAAACTCACCAGCCCTGAGGCGAGGAGGTGACTGGCAACCACCAGCCCCAGGCACCAATAGCGGCGTTTTTCGCAGGCATCGAAGAAGACCACTCCCCAGAAGGTGTGGAGCAAGACAAGAGCCATGGTGAGGAATGCTGAAGGAAGAGAGCAACACAGACCCTCTCAGACCTCGCCACTGTGTTGCCACCTTCCTCCTCCTCATTTTGGTGAAGAGTCATGTGCTGGGGTCAGACTCCGGCTCTAACCGGCGCTGCCACAGCACCCCAGGCATGAGCCCATGTCCCACAGCACGTGCCAGCCCCCAGCCTCACCGGACGTGATGAAGTAGTACGGCGAGTCCCCGTGGATCCCGACGATGCCCGGCCCCATGGAGTCTGACAGGACGTTAATGACGGAAAACACGCCGCTGATGATGCCAAAAGACAGGCCTGAGACTGTGCAGGGAGAAGATAGTCAGCCAAGAGCAACTGCAGCCGAGCTACCAGTGCCATGAGCCCCAGACTCAGCATGTGGGCACAGGGAAAGGCAGGACAGTGGGAAAGAGAACCAGGAAGGCTGCGTTAGTCCTGCGGGCTCATCAGCACTGCCACCCATCTCTGATACTCGAGCATCCCACCACCAGTGCAGGGTGGTCAGTGACAGCCTGAGCTCTGTCCCCGTTCATGCTCACCATAAGCCATCTGCCTGAGGGAGATGGGGGACCGGCCATCCTCGCTGATTGTCGCCAGGCCTTCATCTGCTTTCCTGCTCAGGCGGGAGAAAAAGCGTGAGAGGCTACTTCGGAACAGGGGCCTCGTCATGCAGGAGAGAGAAAGGGATGGTTAAAAACAAGCCTGGGGCAAAAAGGAACAGCTCTCTCCCAGGATTTAACAAGGAAGATACTTTGGGGGGGGTTCCCTGGACAAAAAGCCGAAGGACCACAGCTACCAGAACACTTCACCCAGCCCCATGGGGCACAAGCAGGCTGCCCTCAGACAGGCTCTTACTTCAGCAGCTTGAAGTAGGCGAATCTGAAAGCCTCCTGCAACAAGACGGAGACGGCAGCCCCGAAGATCAGGAGGCCGTGCTGCAGCTTGGCGTCCTCCCGGTCGCTGAGATGAACCGAAATGAACCAGATCAGGGATGCCAGGAGCAGCGATACAAGCCAGAAAAACGCCCTGGGGAGAGAGGAACACCAAGCTCACGCTCCAGAACTCACAATCACATAGTAAACACATGCTAAGCTGCTTGCTTAGTTTGCCTGGGCTCCAGGTCA